GAGATATTCGCTTGGTTCGATTGTCAAGCGTTCAAACGAGTTAACATTCCTACTGGTTAGAGTCAAAAATATGAAAATGTTGACATTGCCCAGTTATTGTTGACTTTCGGAACACTGATCTGCGAGCAGGACCAGTGGGTTCGCGAGGTAGAAATATGTCGAACGATGTTAGTCGGTTTTTCGATCGGTTCTCCAACCGCAAGCATAGGTTTTGATGTAGTTAGTTCAGATGGATCACAAGGCATTCCGTTTATACCGTATTCCTAGCTATGACTATACCTTTTCAACTTAAAGTGAATCCGTTGTAACTATAGGCCGGGTCTGGTTAAACCCAGTCCAGTCCGAATGAACTTCTCCATAAACAAGCTAAAGTACTTTTTGAGTGAGTCACCGAGCGAGGATGATTGTTTCGGAGGGGTGCGTCCTCCCCCCGCACCCGTTCCACCCGGGAACGTTATGTTCATGATCGTTGATCGAGTGTGCGTTATAGATACGAATGAACGAGGCCGGAGTTAATTAACCTCTGTCGGTCGGGTAACGAAGCGAATCACGTCAAGATGAATCGGTCATCATGCCCAGCCGTGAATGTGAGAATGATTCATTCTAAGGGTGGAGTCCGTCCAAGCCCTCAACAACCCAATGAGTAAAATTCTATTGAGGCCGAGTTTCTCTCGAATAAAACCGATTCCTTTGAATCAAATGCGATTGCTTACGTATTTCTGACATTGAAATGTACACTTGACAAGATACAATGGCAGCAATGGTGAAAGAAGTACCAGTATTTCATCTGAATAGTTAGATCAAATTTAAACCCATTCATTAGCTAACAGAAATCAAATTTTTCCTGTCATTAGTTTGCTGATTCAATCCACAATGGCAATGGCAACAATATGTTATCTGCGGTTTCTCCCTTCGCCACTCAGCTTTATCGCATAGGTTCTTATCAATATTATATTATATCATTGCTCAACCTGTCGCATCTTTTCACATACTGATTACATCTCTGCGATCATTTATAGTTTAGTGAGTGAGACAGGTAGTGATGTGAATGAGTTACAGTTATCCATGATCCCAGAAATGATGATAACTATTTATCGGGTGATCCATCGGGAATATATAGAGGTCGGTAAAATATTTTATCCACGGTTGTCTTAATATTGAATGTCGAATAAGAGAAAAGGTTCAGTGGCATCTCTACCTGTGTGGAAAACCTACAGCAACGAACCTACTTTGATACTTGACCGCAAAGCCTACTCAGGCAGTAGAATGCCTCGGACATATATGACTTATATCAGGCAAAAATATGGAACCACTGCACTATTGAGTAACCTAACCGTTGATGTATTTTTTCCATGCAGGGTGGTGTTGACGGATTCGTTCATAAGTTGGCATGGATCCCAGTGACTGAAAACGAACCTTTGTTCTATTTAAAATGTGGGCTATAATCGGACTCATATATGCGCACTTAATTGGTCGACAAATGCTTCCTCTGGAGGAAAACACTGCACTCCCTGTGCATGATAATAAAAGTCGTCCCACGGTTCCCAGTATGATATTCTCGTATTCCATATGGTCTATAATCACCTGATTGCTTTTAATATGTGTAACATTAGTAAACAAAATAATGCATCCATTGTGGCCATATGGTAATTTTCGCTATTCAAATTGTTCGGGATATTGGTTTCTTCGGACATATTGGACTGTATTTGTACATCGAATTTCGAATGAGTGCTTGTAACTTCACATGTCATAGGGCCGTACGATTTTGAGCAGGATGGCGAATTTTTCAGATTGGTGGGAGAATTGTGCGCGCTTTATGTGGGTTAGGTCCATTGTACGTTTCAGGTCGCTTAGATACCATCGGGTCAGGATTCTTCGTGATGGTTTCCTCTATGGAGTAACTTTATTTTTAGGAGGCGCATTGCTACGTGTTTGTTTTTCTCATAAGTATATATTCAACGTTTCCCAGCTCCCTGTGAGTTATTCACTGTACTGTACTCACTAAATATTAGCTCTCCATCCTCTAATTTTACTGAAATCCCCTTTATCACTGATATGGACTCCTCTACAGCTGCTTTGTGAAACACAGGAGCGCATACCATGGAAGAAGGTGAAGATTTTGATCCATTAAACTCATTTGATTCTGGTTGCTCCAAAATTCAGTACATAAGAAAAGCACAAGTATAATCAAACTCTTTTAAGAAAAAAAAGCTGTGTTATACATTTTGTACATAAACACTGTGTGCTTGCTGTATAACTGTATCTACTTTGTAGTTCCAAGTAGTGGAATCACTTCGCAGTTGACCTTTTGTTCAAAACGCTTAATAGGTTTTCCAATTTTTGATACTCTACAAATGTTCCATTGTTGTACTGGTACAGCCATATTATTCGTACAGATTTTTTATCTAATAAAATACAATAATTACAAATTTCATCGTTTTCTTTGAGTTGAGCCACGGTTGATTCTTGCGTGGTAACTGATATCATGTGATCAAAGTTTTCATCTTACCAGTGCTGTAGCAGGTCTCTGTCGGTGTTTTGCATCCACACCGTGTCGCCCTCTCCCACAGGCATTTCTCATGTTTGACTACCAAATATATGTGTACCGGCGTTCCAGCTATCATGTCAAGTTTGCTGGCCAACATAAACGCGTTCTACGCGCACACATCAGCCTCGAGCAATCAGTCGGCTTCCGAGCGGTTCAGTGCAAGCAATTTCGGGGTGAGAATGAGCCAGTTGTGTTTTTGTTCGATAATCTCAGTAGCATTACCCAAGTGTGAAATAACGATTGATCTGGTTGTTGCTACTTTCACAATTGCTGTGCATTTAGTGCTGGTGCAGTTTCCTGTGGTCCATGAACTAGTATTCGCTCATTGGCTGTCTCGTCACTGAGTTTAACATCACTTTTCTCCTTTTTCGTATGGATTGTCAATAACTCTTCATTTGATATTATTGATCGTGGTCATATTGTTTCCCTAATTCTAACAGTTTTCACTCCATTTTCACCGGTTGGTAATTTTAGAAAGAAAAATTTGTAAAGTTGCTCGACCAATTGCACAACTCATTGCGAATAAGCCTGTCCATGTATCGCGTAAGTTCGTAAATCGGTTTCCTTTGACAATTTCTTTAATTTTCTTTGAAAAAATCAAAATATGGGAAATGTTTTGAAGTTAGCTCTGCCAATAATGACTGTCAAACAACGGAAGCTTCGGGAATCCTTAACCGAAACATTGTTTCATTTTGCCTCATTTTCATAACCGACTTGTGTGGGAACATTTCGAAATTTTGATCTTCACCGAACCCATCTGCAATTACTATGACAGCGCTTTGGTTTCCAACGCGTCTTTCTTTATGTGCTTTATTGAACTATGTTTGTCTGACTCACACGTGCCGTTCGTTCTCTTGATTTCAGCTTGTCCAGAAATTTGGTTATTCGTCTTTTTCTGACCGTATCTCTCTAACAAGACATGATTAACATGATAAAATATCGTTTTTAGTCACATAAATACCCAAAGCATCACTTGGTTTATTGCGTACATTAGAATAATGTGCATCTACGTTTGTTCCTTTTCCTCGATAAATAACCTAATTACTGCTCACTTTTAGATAATGTAGTTCTTTGGGCAGAGATTGTCCAAATTATTTTTGTTTCAACATCAAGTAAGTCAAATTTTGGATCAATTCTCTCAAACAAAAATCAGAGGTTCGGTTGTGATTAAATTATTTTCGAAACTTTAACTTACATTAATCCTTTTGCTTCTTTGCTCAGTTTGTTTCAAAAGCTTATCATCCGTCCAGTGATCCGACGACTAGTGCACTTTAGTTTTACCCACCAGTCGTCCTCAAAGTGCTTCTTCAAGCCTGTTCTAATTTAGGTTATTTACGGAGAAGAAAAATTTTTATGTTCGTTGAATGACAGGATTTTAGCAATGCTTATTATACTTGAATGGCCAGGATAAACATGAGATGATTTGACAATCTAACTTCCTACAGGGTCAAAGTACCGCAGCAACAATTATCTGGGGCTTAAATGGCTTATGTTGACATTTCTCATCGTTCATCTAACCATCTATCTATTGGGATTGGCATTTCGACTTCCAAGTCACCATTTTGGTAATTGGAGTTCTTGGCATGTAAGCAAATTCGGAAGTTTTAAACCAACACTGAATGTACAAGCACCACGGACAACCAAAAATCTAAGTCCTAACCCACAGTCAAACAAATTCTCCTTTCAGTTTTCTTGAGGGGGGGGGTAGAATATACACCATGCAAAATATGTCTTATGTCATAGGGAAGACTTGGTTGGCGCCAGTCTCGAAACCATATTTGGATTTGCTGTGGTGAGATGTCATAGATCACACATATGGAGTGGACTTTCCTCTATGCACCTTTTAGAAATCGAACGTGAGTGAAACAATACATCAGCTCTCATTAAAGGCATTCAATTCCGCTACATACGAACTATTTAACTGTTTAATGCAGCCACATCCACCTCGTTGGCATCAATCTACGTGTTTGTCGTGCGTAATGTCCATTCTCGATGAATAAAATATGTCCACCGTTTCTTCTTCCTTCAAACCGTAATATTTCAAGTAGAGATTATTGTTTGGTCACATTGTTTCGGAATGCTTATTATTTCCGGGGAATGTGAACAACTACTGACGGAAAACCATCTTAAAAAATCACAGATAACGTGTTGGTAATAATAAATGCAAAAACTGATGCTCCTAAGGAGACCCGAACATTCATAAGATCTTGAGGTTATTTTTTTCGATCGAAGCTTCAAGTAGCCAAATGATTGAAGATAGTTTTACTTTAAGACTAACGATAAGCGTTTTACTTGAACCTGTCTTAGGAGTAATTGTATGCATTTCGAGTACAGTGTAACGAAATGTTATTTCCTTTTTGAATGACTATAGTAGTTCACCAAAAGGTATTTGTTAGTCTCATCATTGGATAAGGACAAAGTGGGCTGATGTTTTAGAATATGAAGAACAGTAGGATCGCCCTTGGAGAGAAAAAGAATAAAATCACGATGGCCAAGAGAAATCATTGTGTTTTTACTTGTGTGTATGGGTTACACAAAAAAAGCCTAACTTATCGAATACGAGGTGAATTTTTTTCCACAAGACCGGGGAAGATCATTAACGGAAGCTCAGAAGAAGTTGAAGTAATTCTAAAATTACGGAAAGATTATAAAGAATGAAACTTCCCAATGAAAGAGGCGAAAATGATGAATCACTCTTGAAAATTTCGATCATACCCTTTTTTCTAAATAGTGGCCTTTTTCCTATGTCGTTTTCAATACAATGCTTCCAAGTGTTTAGATAAAAGTTAATGATAACGTTTTCCTTCAAACCCACCCGTCTATTTTCACACAAATATTTATAAGCTTTAAATCAAAAACTTAACCAAAACTAAATAAATAAAAAGTTGTACTTCACTGTTTGAATTACACTTCCATATTCTCGTTCTATCAATACTTCCAACAGAATTCGTTTCCGGCTTCCCAACCGGATAAACTCCAAGACCTGAAGTCTACAGTCGATTTGCTTACTAGCATCACATTCTTTCGTATGAAAGTGAGTTTGTTTGACACGTATATTGCAACCAAGATACTGAGGAACTTTATTACTTGAGTGTTTCCGCTGGCTTAATCGATGCATCCCATCGCTACACGTGCATTAAGGTCACAAACTCTGGACACCAGGACACGCGTTTCTTTTTAATTTCAACATTATCAATCCTCTGGATAGTTTGACTTACTACTCCACATTACCACATGGTTTCGCAAATGCGGTTTATTATCATGCGTTGTTTGTTGTTGGGTAAGAACCATAATAAATAATAATAATAATAATAATAATTTTTTTCCATAGTTCACCGAATTTTTATTGATTCTAAACTTCGCATACTGATCTACGACGCGTATTAAGTTGAAGATATTTCCCATGCTCCATTTCAACAGCTCCATGCCAATACATTAAGTAAAATCACTGTCTATTGCACGTGTTCATGAATGTTCTATTTCATATGCGTTAGATGTGTTCCGACTGCCATTACAATGAAAACTGTGAGAACTAATTGTATTGGTATGATACGCGTACTTACTTTGAGCTGCAGGAAATCTTTAAGTTCCAGGTTTAATGTAATAATATATGACACAGCCTAAATGAAACTGTATTAAGTCACATTCGACTCAAGGTTACTTGTGCGTAGTGGTGTGGGATAATTGAGGGCCCAAGTAACTGTGAGTTAAATGCGAAATATCAATCCAACCTTGTAGGTTCGTTTGCGAATCAGTCCGTACCTGCATGGAAGTCCTGACTTGATGGGAGGCTTTCGATTGTAGTTTTCAATATGTCCTCTGTGTCTCCNTCCATTTGTTGCTATCGGGACAAAAATGAACTGACTATCACTGAAGACGACACCTGAACAAACATGAATTGGCAATTTGGTTCAGCCATGACATGAGCTGGTTGGCACAGGGGTAAAGCATACGCCTTCCATTCGGTGGGTCCGGAGTTCGAATCCCGGATGGGACGGTGGATATGCACGACGAATAATCTCCGATAAAAGCGAAACTCGAGTCTAGTGCTTCCGAGTGAATGGCTGAATCGATGAACTGAGGATCGTATGTAGTGGTGAAGTCCGAAGGATAGTCAGCTGAAATCGATAAACCAAGTCGCTTTATGCACCCTTTGGGTGAATTTTCAGCAATTTACGAAATTGTGCAGTGAATATTCAAAACAACTTGCGATAAACAAAATATAGTATATCAAATTCCATAATATAGTAAATGAGGGAGAAATTAGTGCAATAGTGTTTCCCTGAAAAGAGGGACAACTGGCTTACGAATAAACAATAGTCGAACAAAGTATGGAATTATCCTGTTTCGATGTGTGGAAGTACTCGCAGGAAGCTGGTGTTTGGAGCCAGTTCGGGGATCGATCATGATTTTGCGATGCAGGTAGTACCCTTGATCACGTGTCATCCTGTCAATAAAGGTATCACAAGCGTCAAAATACTTGGAAATAAAAAACAACCAAAACAGCTTTAGCAAATCGACCTTAACGGGAAAAGCGGTTGACGGATCTATAAAACAAAATGAAATCGTTTTCTTTGAGACCAAGGAGAAATATTGGGGAGCGGTGGAACCAGTGTGAAAGGATGTAGGCAATAACACTAATAACATCAATAGAACAAGACAGATTATGGGTGGTTTTGACATCAAGGTTTTAACAAACACAGATTTTGGGATGCTTTGGTTATTAGCTATAGGGTTGGGGAGAGTATATACTAATGAAAAATCCTGATGGCTGGTTTTAAAACTAATTGGAACGTCGATGCATATATTGATGGTAATTGCAGTGGATCGGGGCACATACCAATAGTGATGTCCGTTAAGGCTGTCCTGGCGAAGCCGAAAACTGCCTGAGCTATCAGAAGTGTGACCAATCACAAAACCATCAGCATAGTTGTGAGCAGTGAAGTTACTGGGAATGGGTAGATTCTGTATGCACTTATAAAAAACAAACAATATAAATAGCACCTTGAAAAACATCGGCATCAATGTTAATAGAATCACGTCGGGCTCATATTGCTTTGGGGTGATGTTGGCCAAGTAGTTAGGTCACCAAATTGTGACCCGGAAGTTCCGGATTCGAACTACTCCATCGCCGTCCATCATCCCTATTTCTGTATTACTCCAGGCAGACTTTGTATGGTCACATCCCCCTTCCTGAAAGTTAACTGTACATTTGTATATTCAATAAATTGAAGAGGAAGTAAAAAGACATAAAAACAAAGATGAATGTGTACCGTTGAATGAAGTAAACTAGGCCCTACCACAGAACTGAAACGTTCAAGATTATAGGTGTCAGACCACTCTCAGAAAAGTTAAACGAGTGGTAGGTGCACGTTTGTCTAAAACGGATGCAATATGTGCAAGGGTGTCTGGTTTGGATACATGGGACTTATAGATGAACTCTAAAGGATCATGGGATTTACATAGGGGTATCATACGGTACAGTAAAACATTTTCAAAATCTTTCAGCAAAACAGATATGCAGGCTATGGGATATTATATGACGATCCGTTTTGGGGAATTGATGTGATCCGGGCTGACCTCTAACAACCGGGGATCGCTCCGAATGACATACTGAATTGTAATCTGAACTTAGCATGAGTTTAGAAAATGATGTGCCAATCGATCAGGACCATGGGCTTTGTTGGACTTGAATCTCCTCAAGACTTGGAGAACTTCGTTCGGAGAAACAGAGTTTATTGCCTCATGCGTTGGAAATGGAGGTGAGAAGGAGCTTGTGGTAGGCACAGAATCGAATTGATGATTCGGTATCTGACCGTTCGGATAGGAATAGATGCATGGGCTGCAGGGTAGTCCACATCTCACGACAGCTGTGACTACTTAACACAACTTGAATGTACATTCCGTTCAGGCGTCTTACTTCGGCTGTATTCAGAACAGATAGCTCATGCACCATGGCTCGCCAAATACGATTTTAATATCCACCTCGTTGGTCCATAATTTCTGGGTGCCTGTTTCCATGTTTAATTTTACCTACCAAGACTCCTGTCTAGGAGTATCAAATAAAAGGGAAAGTTTTTCGTTGTTCTAAAACTTTCGACAAACTTGTATTGTTCATTCAGACAAGTGAATTGATTTTTACGATTGAGGTTGATGCAAAAGAAACCATGACTAGTTTTTCTCGAAAAAGTGGTTTATCATTCTACGTTAGCCGACTGACCTAATTCAGGAATAATCCTTATTTGCCAAATGTACTCAGTCGTATTGATACTAGTTCGAGAAAAACATTGGGAAAAACAAACATCACCAAGAACATCGATTGGTTTAGCTGAACTTCAATGTACCCCACTTTAAACTGAAAAGTTTCTCCGGTACGAATGAATGGAAACTAACTTCAGTCACCTCGCATTTCGTCCCACAAAATCTGTACCAAATTTAGGTCCAAGAATTAACCAGTCCACCGCGAGCAAGTCAAGTGGTCAAGGAATGTGCACGGGCGTGTATGCAAACCACGTACCAGTTTATCTACGAAAATGTCAATGAAGTGTATGCAAAACAGTTCCAGGTAAGACGATATTGCCAGTACAGTTAAGTACGCCGTCCATTAAGTTTTCACTTTGGTGATTCACTGAATAACTCATTGAATCAGTCAGTAAGTACATTCACAAATGTTTGAAATCTCGGCAATTTTGAATGTGATCATTTCAATCCGTTAGTTCAACTTTGAATCATTATTCATCTGTTTGGCAATGAACATCATTGTTGATTCCATGATCTATTTTTTTGAGGCGAAATCAGCAGCGTTTTCAGATTGTTAAGTCCAACTCATACCGGCTGGGTTCGTTGCTTCATTTGTCTCGTTTTGTTTGACCCCGTTATTTATGATGGACTAAAAAACATTGTTTCAGAGACTTTTCAAAACAATCTTTGCCGTTTTGCCACCGTTTGGCAGGCATTGTTCTGAAGGATTACGTTTGTTAACAAACGAAAGCAAGAAAGAACGTGAAGGAACCTTGTGATCAAATAGTTCCCATAGCGATTATTTCAGGAGTGTTGATTTGAGTGAAACTGAGCAGTCATCCAATGGTTCAGCAACTCAGATTTGCACCACTGCTCCATTTGAGGAGAAAATGAAGCAAAGTTAAGAAATAAACAATGTGCATACAAAATATCATACCGTCGGTAATGACATACTTGTATTTCAAGCATTCAAGAAGAGCGCAGAACGTCAAACATTGATAGTTTCGAAATGGTCACCATCAGATATGCCATGCGTCTGCAGTAGTAGTACGTTTGGAGGAATAAGAACAGTTAGAGTTGCAGTACCCATGGGTGACCAATACCTCACACAGAAACCAGTCAATTTTATAGGTGCAACCGAAACAACTTAGAGCCTCAAACATTGCTGGATTAGCGAGTAAGTGGGTCGTTGTCAAACAGTCATACTTAGGGCAAATGACGCAGTCAAAGGCCTGTTTAATATCCATGCTAGTTTGACGTGACTGAACCCCATGAATCGAATAACTGTCCCTACGGATCATGGATGGAATGAGTCTTGGAGGTTCGACACAAAGCTTTAATGTGTTCGGAGTGAAATGCTTCTAAAAGTAAGACAAAACCACTTGAACACAAGGTTCACATTGTTCTGCATAACCTTTCAGACCCGGTATTACCCACACTATGTATACTATAAAAATTTAAACATCAGTTTTATTCTTTCCTCCACGTTTTAGTTACCTTTGGACAAGAGTAGAATTCATTATAGCAAACTGGACTACACATCAGTGTAACTGTAACGGCACCGGACATTATCACTCCATCGAATTTGAACACCACATATGAGCATCGTTAGAGGATGTCATTCCAAACTTTAAAGTTCCTTGTTGTTTGTGCTTCGATTATCTTTACCGTGTTACATAGCTTTGGACTTTAAACCGTGGTTTGCCCCTCTGAA